AATCACAGCTAGCCTTTTGCCACCTTTCATCACCCTTTTGCTACTTCTAGCTAGCTGTTTGGGGTTTTACAGCTAGCCTTTTGCCACTCGCAACTAGCACTTGGCAAACTTTTGAACTTTAAAAGTCTTTTTCTGCTTTCAACTAGCATTCTGCTGATTTTAACTACTAGCTAACATTCTGTTACTTTTTTAGAAAGCCCTTTAAATAACCTGTGTTCTTGTATTACACTTTTAGCTAGCATTCTGCATCTTTTAGCTTTAGTTTCAGCTTCTTTAGAAAAATCATCCAGCCCTTAATTCAGACTGTGTTTTTACTGAAAACGTAACTTGCGCCGTCACTTTTATTTGTGTTTCAGCAGTTTTTACGCCCCGCAGCGAGAACTTACAGGAACACAAATGACCAGTTTCACACGTCTCTCCATCCTTTAATCCACGGGGATGAAAAACAAGCCTCAGGTTATATTTCTTCACAGACAAGACCGATCCTGTCCTCCTCGCATACTTGCACTCAACTTCTGTGAATGGCAGCTCAACAAGAGGCTCAGAGGTTCTGGTTAACCGAGGTGGCCCGCTTTAAGATGTCCTGGTCTTACTGGGTCCTCAACCACACGGTCCATAATGTCTCTGACCACACCAGAGTCCGGCTCAGAGCTGCTTTTAAGGGATGGAGAAGCGTTGAAGTGTCAGAGTCGCTCAGATTTTATGAGGAATTCAAAACAGACACAACTACTGTGCTTTCATTCTCCAAACATCAGCTAAAATTTGATGTAGTAGCCGAGACTGATCCCCAACAGATCATGCAATAACTTTTTTTAGTCAGCTCTGTCTGTTAGCAAAATATCTCATAAATTGCAGGATGGGTTTTTATTAACAAAACTTGCAGGAATTGATATTTATGTTTAAATAATTATTTTTTTAGAGCCAATTCAAAAGTAAATGGCCACCAGTGTCAACTTATAAGAAACAATTTGAGTCATATTTACTCAACTGTAAAAGTTAGTCTTTATTTAAAAAACTATATACATAAAAATGTAGTTTTAACAACGAAAGCCAAAATGCTGAGTCAAATGGTTTAACTTTAAAACACGATCTAAACCACTGCGAGGTCATTAAAAACGCAATAAATGAATTTTGGAAGCACCAAGATGTTTAAAATGATCTCAGACTTTAGAAACTGATTCTTTTTCACAGTTTTAACTTAAAGTTTACAACAGACTGCCATTTTTTGCTCGTTCAAAGCGGCAACTTCGGCCTACTTTTCATCCTAAACCCCAAAAAAAGTGGCCTACGAGGTTTTACTTAATGTAAAAACACGAATTTAATAAGTTGTGAAGTTTTAAATCCGCTCTTGAAGGTTGTGAGACATTAATCGAAGTGACTTCTGACGCTAGCAGCTATCCACACCCAAAGTTTGCGCCAGAGGACACGCATTCTTTGCCCTTTTCTCCACCCTTTGACTTGTAGCTCAACCGTGACAAAACTGTTCAAGGGACAAAACTCACCTTAAGATGACGCTTTACGAACGTTTCCGTGGATTCAGAGAGACATTGGGTCCAAAAAGTGTCCGCTTAATAACGGAGTAAAAAGGCTAAAACTAGCTAAACTGATACAACGGTCCGCTTTGTTTGACCTATGAATCTGAACAGCCGAAATAAAAAAAATCACACTGAAACACGGGAGGAGCTAAAAGCCTCCTCATTCAGGTTTTGTTTGACGCAGATTAAAATAAGCACGGATGATCCACGGCTTGGTCGAAAACCGTTCACAGCTCTACTTTGATGCCGACGAAGACCCGTTTTTTTCGTGCCTTGCTTCCACAAACCTCTAATTTTCATTCAAGCCCCGCCTCCACAGGAAGAACTGCGGCACGCAGAGGGGGAGAGAACGAACGCACCGCAGAGCGCCAGCGATGAACCCGGCGTCACCTCGAGTCTGGTGAATACCGTGGCGATGCGCATGCGCACACAGCAGGCCTTAAATACACATCTTTAGATGTAAACAAAAAAAGTTAAATCATGTCCAACTGATCCAGATGACATGATTTAACTTTTTTTGTTGTTATCTACCTGGATGATTGAGCTTACAACCTTTATATCTTTTGATGTAGAAAATTTGTTTGAATGTTGCCTTTTTAATCACCTTTTGGGCACATGGGTAACTATTTATTAATAATAATAATAATAATATACATTCTTTAAAAAGCTGCTTTATTTACAAAGTAAACACTGGTCTGATGGAGGAACAGTCCTGGGTCTTTGCTTGATTGGAGCAGATGTTCTAAAACCTGTTTATACTTTTCTGCATGGATGTTGCCTTTTATTAT